TGCATCTTCTTCTCCTTCTCTTCCTATCTCTCTCTCTCTCTCTCTCTCTCTATTTTAAACAACCATTGACCGAACTCTACTCGAGCGTCACTAACGATAGAACGAACCGTGTACACGAATCGAACTTTCGCTTTCGCGATCGTCCGGCCAAATTTGTAACGTAACTCGAATCCTCCGTCACGGTTCACGTCCGAAACTCGATATCTTTGTCACGTCGATACGACGATGATTTCGGGGAGAGGAAGAAGATAGGATAAAAAAGGAAAAAAAAGAAAGAATTCTTGGAGCGCGTGCAAAAATTTATACGCAACCTTGAATTTTATAATCCCTTCCGTAACGTGTAGCCTTGAATTTTAATCTCTCGTAAAAGAAAAAAAAATGAATTTAGATTACTTTGATAAAGAAATTCTCGCGACCTGAATACATACACACGCCCGGATTTCAGAAGGGAGATCAATCAATCGAATTGATTAGGTTTCGTTTTATTCTCGAGAAGAGCATTCTTTATAAAAGAGAACGTGAAAAGAGAAAAATTCATAAATTCCATCGATCATTCTCATCGTGTCAGAAGAAAATTCTGGAAAATAAATTTTTGAAACTCGCGTCCATCGCGAGTCCTCGAAAAACTCGTGGAAATTCAACTCTTCTTAATAATCATCCACGAGCTTGTGGGTGGAAGAATTTGCGATGCTAATCGATGGCGACGGGGGAAGGAAGGGGAGGGGAGGGGAGAGTGATTAGCAATTCTTTCATCAAGGATCGATCGATCGACAACGCATATTTGAATTCGAACAATTCTCTTCAACGATGACCGATCGGGAAAGGGGCGAGTTCCTCGTTTAATTACAAACTTCCCTTGTTCGTTCACCCCTTTCGCGGGGTTACATCGTCATTTTAATTAGCTGGACGTTGACTGTTCTGCGGGGAGCAGACTGATTAAAAACAATGTTTTACTTCCCTTTTCTTCCGTGAAAATTTCGAGGATGACGCTCTCCAACAAATTTTTAGAATATTTTAGATCGATACGTTTCTTTTTTCTTGCGTTTGTGCGTTTTAGTTTTAAAATTTTAAAAGTTGGAAAAGTTGGAAAAACGATATTATCGATAATAATTTCTTTGTGATTGTAACAAATTTTTTTTATCTCCGCTCTTTGCGCGAGTAAAAAGAAAAGAGCGGAGAAAAGCTTGTATACAGATGTGTACAGATTGTTTATCTCCCTATATTATTTTTAATTTTACTCATCTGGGAAATATATAAATATAAATTCGCAAATTCGATTTAATCCGTTTCTTAATAAATAATTGTTTGCTTAATATTTTAGATTCCAATGAAATTTAATATGAAAACTCACACTAGTTTCCGATGTATGTAATTAGGTCACGCAAACACGAATATAATGATATAATAAGATTAAGTTTAATTAAGAAGAAAGGTATTACGGTATTACGGCGATTGTTATAATAAAATCTTTTTGTAACCAATTTTATCTACAACCGCAAACATGTACATTTTTTTTTTTTTGATGTTCAATATCGAAACACAAATATTTCACGAACGTATTTCACAAACGTAAATGCAACTGTTAGAAAGAATTGTTATAAGCACAATACTTTTTCGATCAGAATTTGCCGCTCGAACGATTCACGCTGCTTTTTCTCGAATCGTGACCGTCTCTTACGATATAGTGTATAACCTAAAATTTGCACGATTGATCCGACCATATCAGGAATAAATAAATGTCACAAATTTCTTCGAAACGAGATTTTTCACAAGTACGATATTTAGAAAAAAACGACAGGCTGTCCTTTTTGTGCAGTTGTTAAAAAACACATCGCACACAGTTATCTTCGATAAAATTAATGTCGAGATTTTTATTGAGATAAAAAACACGATCATATAGCACGTCTATTTATTTTCATCGTGCCGCTTTAATTCCAATCGTCTATTTATAATATATTAAGGGACAGTTTACAGGTCGATAATTCCAGTGTTAAAGATTTGATGTAACGACGGTTCGCCGAGGGGCGGATTAAATGTGTAAAATTTCTAGGTTATATTTAGATCAAAGCGCGAAAGGTTAGAATTTTTTTCAAATTAATCCCTCGTTGATAAACCTCGTTAAACTTAACCAAGATCGGTGTCTTGGAGATTACTTTTCCTCACTCTGAAATCTCACTGTTCCATTGGATGGAAAAAAGAATCGCGACGAGAATTCGAACAGCTTACGAACAATCAGCCGGGGCGTTAACTTGTTGCACGAGCGCCGCGTTTCGGGAATTTTCTCACTCGTTTTATTTCCTTGCCATTCCTCGATCCAGCTTCTCAAGACACTTTTCAGATATCTTATTTTGGAATCGAAGAATCAACCGGATTTCCATCGTTGTATATAAATTTTTCTATTTTCCACGTCCACGAGTGAAAATAATTAAAGAAAAAAGTTCGTCTATAAATTCTTTAAGAATTTTATACGTTAAGTCTGTAATTACGAAAAGTTGAACGATACAGTTTAGTAGATTTTATATATAACGCGGAATTTTAAAAGAGGAATACTTTCCATCAGAGATTATTGTATTTGCCTAAATTAAAAATTTCGAGACGTTAATATAATAAAATTTAGACGGAACATATTTTTATATATTTCGTAAGTTACATCGCTTAAAATTGATCCAGAAAATAAGAAAGCAACATCTTCTTTAGCCACCGTCCGATTTTCGATCCAAAGGATCCGGTGATTAAAAAAAAAGATGTCTAATCCAAAGATCCGTTATTTTTAATCGACGTCGTAACGTATCGAGTTCTATAAACGGGCATCGGCTAAAATTAGAATATCCTGGAAACATAGCGCGCGCGAAGCCTCTAATGTAAAAAAAAAAAAAGAAGCGCGTTGTAACGAAATAACGAAAAGTGATGATGAATCGAAACGAAACGATAAAGTTGCATCGATTCGAATCGGGAACAGTGCCCCCCAAAAAAAAAAAGAGAGGGAAAAAAAAGTTCTATTTAAAATTCGAATTCCGACAGACTCGCAAACTCCCTTCCGAGAGAACGTGTGCTCGGCGTATTTTCAAAAATAGCGACCGAGTAGCACACTCGGGGCTCCATTCAACGTTCCATCGCATAGGCGTTGGGATAGAAAATAATGCGAGGGCTCGAGCGTGTGGAAAACGTTGTGGAAACAATGGATCGTTCGAGGCGCGACCACTCGACACCGCGTCTTCGTATATCGTCGCGTATCGATCGATCGAGAAACGCACGTAGAAGAAGGCGGCCGCCTGATCACGGCAAATTAGTCGAGCGGGGATTTCGGTGCGCGGCAACAGTTGTTTCCAGTCGGGACGAATCCGCTCGAGATCGAAGGCTCGTGAAATATCGTAGAAACGTTCGATCGTTGAGAATCGTAAAAAAATGTGCCTTAATCCCAGCGGCCATCTTTCGCACTATCCTATATACGTCTCGAACGCGTGTCCTCTCGAGGCTCGTGCCTCGAAGCAATAGAATTGGCGAATTGCATCGCCTTCGTGGAACACGTACCAAAACGTCGACGGGTATCTGTGCAGGCGCTTTCGACAGTCCCACCACTGACATCACGTATACCGTTGCTGTGCTGCACGCGAGGAGGACGCAGATGGAGAGCCTGAGGGGCAGCGTGGCGAACAGAAGGTAGAGCATGAGCAACAGCCAGCCCAGCCCGTCCCTAGGCGTGACCTCGGTCGACTTGAGGAACAGCTGAGCGAGTAGGTGTGCGGTGGACAGCTGCCAGACCATGTGAGGGACCAGCGACCAGAGCGCGTCCTTA